CAACAAAAACACAACATACCAAAGGACATTTCATATTTCCTGGGTGAGTGAAATTGGATTATCAACATCAACTCTGAATATGACAGTCAAAAATCCTGTCACTGAACAAACTGCAAATCAATGTGGGAGAAATAAGATTGTTTTTGAAGAAATACACTAATATACTAATTACATGCATAAGCTTTCATAGCGTTTGACATATGATTTTAATATGCATCATGGTACTGAATATTTCTACTTTCTGGAAATTACACGTTGTAAAAATGTTAATACACCTCTTAGTTTATTTGCCTACATTTATTTGCTAAGCATTCCAATACATGGTTAAGTTAAGGTACATGCCAAGCCTATAATTTTGGCATGCCCTGCAATTTACGCCACTCCAAACTGAGGAAAGTGTAAATAGAGCGTTCATAAAACAATTTTTTTTAAAAGAGGAATATCACGTTTCATAAAATAATACTCCTTAATTTTGCCCAACCCTGGTGCTTTGATGAGGAATGTTATATCTGTGTTGAGCTCATCCTTCTGCTCCTGTAATTCTGAAAATTCTTAAGTCCTTGAAGCATAAAAAATAGTTTTATATAATCATTAATGTTTATTCCTTTGAAAAATATATTCAGCCAACTTTATAGCATGTTTATGTGACAACTGCAACTGACATAACCTGAAAATTAATTTTGTTAATAAGTCTTAATGTTCACGAGTTAAAAAATATACATGAATTCTTTCTGACTAACCTCAGTTGTTCATCAACATCTGTGAGGATAGGCTTTGGCTTGGTGGTTACTCTGTTCACATCTTCATGCAGTCCCTCCAACAGGTAACGCAGAAACTCCTGAGCATCCTGCTGACAATATCCCATGAACCGAGGGGCAAAGCGCTGGATCTGCGACTTGAGAGCTGTTGTGTTCACGACTCGGTCCTCACTCTCTGCACGCCACAGCTCTTGGATCACAGTTGAGAATGCTGCACGAATGCAACAGTCAGTTTAAGGGAAGCTATTTACATGAATATCGAAGATGACAGCTTTCTGAGTTGTTGTGCTGTATAGTCTGGTAGAAGTTTACATATGTTTCAGATGTGCTTGCTACCCCCTCACTGCCACAATAATGTTTTCTGACTTCATCATTACTGTAACGATGGAGGCGTGTTGGTAAATTTCTACCAGACTATACAGTGGAACAACTCAGAAGGCTGCCATCTTCATATTCACTGCCACAAGATAATCAAATCTCACTTACATGAATTCTGGTACGCAACTAGGAACATGCAAATTAACAGAGAAAGAGTAGTATATGATTTGAAGCTTATGCGGCGACATAACTCAATAAGATGTTTTAGGGTCATTAGCTGCGTCAAATGGTCAAACGATGAAACCAAAGTTTCAGGGACTATCTCTGTTTCTGTCTCTTGGGACATAAATAGTCCCTGAAACATGGGTTTCATTGTTTAACCATCTGACGCGAATAATCACAAAAGAAAATTTTATAGAGAAAGGGTATGTTTCCACGTATGAGCCGGGATAGCTCAGTCAGTATAGTGACTAGCTACGGGCTGGACGACCGGGGTTCGATCCCCGACGGGGGCAGAGGATTTTTCATCTAGCCTCTGCGTCCAGACCGGCTCTGGGGCCCACCCAGCCTCCTCTACAATGGGTACCGGGGTCCTTTCCCGGGGGTAAAGCCGGCCGGGGCGTGATGCTGACCACTCACTCCCATCTAGTGCCGAGGTCAAGGAAGAGAGGAGCTATACCTCCTCTCACCCCAAACGCCTACATGGCGTGTAGTGGGACAAACTTTACTTTACTTATTAGTTTCCATGTCAGAATGTGTCACTTCACTTGCATAATTACAACAGTTCATCAGGTACTGACATAAAACCAAAATATGCCCAACAGCTAACCATCTTGAGCAAAAATTAACTCAGCAGGTACATATGTTAACTGAGAATGTCCATTCTGCAGACAAGAGAAGTACTGTACCTTTGATCAGAGCACCCTTCATGCTAGATATTGAAGTGTTGATGTCAGACAGATGGCAGTCACCTAGCAGGTACTCCAGCAGGGGCTTCGTGTTGCTGAGACATTGGATCACAGAGTTCATGAAGCACTGCACAAAAAACAGCAACACATTAAAACTAATTTCCTCACACTGTGGGCTTTCATCTGTGTATCATTTCACTTGTATATATAGTGGGGGTCCATTATTGTGTGAAGTTTGAAGGACATTCATAAAACTCACATTTACATAAACAGACTAAATAAAACCATAAAAATCCATTTTCGTAAATACATAATGCTATGGCAGACAATAAACATTACAATAAGACTCTTATCATGAAGATGACTGTCTTCTTGGTTGTTGTGCCGTGTAGTCTGGTAGAAGTTTATTAACATTTAAGAGATGCCTGCCACCTCCATCATAAGGATAACTCACCACACTGATGGAGAAAGCATGCATCTCTGAAATGTCAGTAAACTTACTCCAGACTACACAGTACAAGAACCCAGAAAGCAGCCATCTTGATACTAACCACAATGAGACTTACCATGACTAAATGTCAAACTTGTGGAAGTTTCATAATCAATGTTTTGAATACTCTTGTGTGATATGTTGCAACAATAAGAACGTTTATAACAACGTAGAGCCACAGCACTGACAACAGACCTCTACTTACAGTGTTGCCAATATTCCGCAAGCCTGCTAAGCCGCCCCGATCAGCTGAACTGCCTGAGCTGCCACGCAGACGTGAGAATCGAGGAGAAGCACTTAAACAGGCTGTGTTGTCATCCTATAGTGATAGCATGTCAACAATTAGTTAACCTCTATCAGCAAACATGTCAACAATATCACCATGAGAAGAGCATTGGCCGTTCATGATGTCTCCCTTACATTACTTTTGCAAGGCCTTTATTTGGATATAGACAGGTGCAAGACCTCATAGAAATTTAGAAGTGTTATAAGTATACATTATGAGTCAACATCATGAACATGCTATAAGCTCTCTGATGAACAAAGAGAAAAATGGTGGCATTACTCAGCAACACATCAACACATGTCTCTCAACTGAACATGTTACAAACCTCATCATTTCAAAGTAGCTTCAGAATACAAGTTAATGGCAGCCATGTTCTACGTGAATGTCTTCATCACTACTCTGTCGAGGGTATCACCAATGAAACATGAAAAATACAACCCAACTCAATGGGTCAACAAGTTTACACAGAAAGCGGAAAGTGATTAAAACTCTTCCGTCAACATATTCAGACTCATGTTCACAAATTTACAATGTGAGCCAAGCTTTAAGATTTGCTGTTGTTTATGCCAAAGCAAACTGATAAATTTTTCAACCTGGTATCAATCAGAAAAGTTTAGATATGTACAGAGTATCTTATTCAGGCATAAATATTTCAAGGTGTTCAAAAATATGAGTGTAAAAACTTGCCTCTTGCAAAAGTGGTCAGCCTGCAAAGTATAATAAATATGAAGTCAGGTGCCAATGTGTTCTGATGTGATGTTCTCAATGCACAAACCATATTAAGTTCTCAAAACCCAAATGACGTATCAGATAATAATCTTCAGCACAAACAGGAAAGACGGAAACCACCGTGACACGTGGTTCACTACCAATGTGCTGGCAGTTATCTACTGTCACAATAAAAATGTTTCTTCACAGGTGGTTTGCACAAATTTCAGCTATTCAATCTGAATATTCACAAACTCCCTACTGTTATAGAAACTAAAACTTCATTACAGTCATCAAAAAATTAAAACTCTGGAGTGGATACCAAGTCATCTGCATTAGGCACACATTGCTGCAACCTAAATTATCTGTTACATTTAAAATTACCCTCAAATTTATGCTTTAATATTCACAGTAATTTATTTCCATAAAGATTCTAACTAAAACCTTGTAGGCATTTCTTGCTTCCCCCATTCTCATCTGTCCAGCTACTGTAAATTGTGTATAATTTTAAAGATGAGACGAGCCTTCTGGGATATTGCATTGTGTATTCTAATAAAAGCTGACTGACATTTCATGATGGAGGCAGTACACACCTCTTAAAGACTACCAGAAGGCTGCCATGAGAATCTGAAATCTTGGTCTACAAGTTCATAATAAATGCTACAAGTGAGTTACAAATGGCACATACCAAGCTGGTTCAACTAATTATAAGTATTTAGGCTCAAACCATTCCTTATTACAGTAAATGTAACAAAACATCACAGATATATACAGCAAACATGACTGCAAACTTTATGGCTGTTCTGATAATTACATCAATTTTAAGTTTTGCTTTCAGGTTACGACTGTTCTGCAGCCACAAGTACCCCTTATGTTGGTAGTGTATATCTGGCAGCAATGTCCCCACTGCCAATAGCGTCACTAAACCAAGTGTCCCACAACAAAATCCAGGCATATTCGCATGTGACATTTCACTGCTGGGTTTGGGTACCAATAGAAAGCATGTTAAAATTACTTTTGTGCCTTCACTGGAAAATTATGTTCCTGAAGGCAAGCTACAGATATACAAAACTAGTGAATACAGGTAAGCAACATACAACATTCACCATTGCCCCACACAGTATAAGTCACTGCAGATCATTTAATTAACGGTTCAGTACAGTGCTTAGCTACATATTATTATAAATTGATTCAAACTTCACTAGTGACAGGTTTGATCACTGCAAGTTTTATTTTATACGGACAACATACCCAGGAACAAAAACTATTACGTTCCAGTTCTGCAAAGACATTTTTTAAATTACTTGTAAAACAAGCACGGTGCTTCATATTTCTGCTAGTACTATAAAAATGTCACACAGGAGTATGATATGTACCTCAGAGTGGGCAAACAAACATGTCAAAAAAGGAGGGGGTGCAAAGAAATGTCTTGGAAAATAGCTCAGTACTAAGACGCTGATGGGCAGATACTGAATAATCAAATAGTCAAGCAACCCACATTTACCGATAACTCCAATTCAATTTGATGGATTAATTAATACACAATATCACTGTGACTACATAAGAGCCCACACACGTCATGTCACATAATTTGCTCATGTCAGTCCACCAGTTGTCTTTCAACAGTTGAAATGCAAGGATGTCTTTTTCACAAGTGCAACAAATGTTCATTGTTTAACACTACCTGGTATCTTGTTCTTACTTAATTGCCAGAATGAGTTCAGGGATACACTTCCTACTTCTCCTGAGCAAAAAAGATTGACAGTACTGTCTGGTGAACCTCTTCCATGACACAGGAAGAATGCAGGACAAACACTTCCAGTCAATCTCTGATGTTAAGAGATGATAGTTTGGAAGAGATCCGCCAAACTTTCTTACACTCTACACAAAAGTTATCAAGAAAGCTCTCTCTTCAGTGTGGATTATCCTACACAAGTGTACATAAGGGAACAAAGATTTTAAAACTCTGTCCATATCACGTGCATGTCACGCACAGACTCGAGGAACCTGATAAGAAAGAATGACTTCATTACTGCAGATGGTTTCCACGCTTCATTTGAGGGGGTTCAGATGTTTTAGATAAAGTTTACTTTTGTGAATGAGCCGGCATAGCTCAGTCAGTATAGTGACTGCCTACGGACTGGGCGAGCGGGGTTCGATCCCTGACGGGGGCAGAGGATTTTTCCTCTAGCCTCTGCGTCCAGACCGGCTCTGGACCCCACCCAGCCTCCTATCCAATGGGTACCGGGGTCCTTTCCCGGGGGTAAATCCGGCTGGGGCGTGATGCTGACCACTCACCCCATCTAGTGCCGAGGTCAAGAATGAGTAGGAGCTATACCTCCGCTCCCCCCAAGCGCCTACATGACGTATAGTGGGACAGCTTTACTTTACTTTTGTGATCAAACACGATTCCTCATAAGGGAATACATGAAGAGGAAAAACAGGAGAATATGGAATGCTGAAAATCTGCATAGTTTTCTTTAAATACTGTTACATGCGTTAGAAGTCAGAGTATAATGTGCTTGTCTCTTCACAGAGGAAAACTGGTCCAATTTTTTGTAATGAAGAGATACCAGCTGAACAAAAGTAATAATTATGAATTTTAATTCCCTTTTGGAAGGTGATGAACATGATTTCTGGTTTCAGCAAGATGGGGCTAAGATGCATACAGAAAATTTAACAATGCAGATGTTGAGCGTGTTCTTTGGTGCCTGCATTATTTCTCAAACACTGTAGACCCCTCAACCTATTTCCATTGAATTTCTATCTTTGGAGCTTTCTAAAGGAGAATGTACAAAAACAACCATTACACATTAGAATAATTTTAACAAAATAATAAATTGTGCATTTTAAATATCACTGCAGAAACTCTTCACTCGGTTGCATCAAACATGGGCAAAATAACAAATAAATACATGCATCATTGAATGCAGTGAACATTTTGAACATGTAATATAATTTTTTTCTGATTTAACTGTAATTTATTTTTTTAAAAACAAAACATGCATCAGGAATGACTTGCATGACTTTCTGATCACCCTGTATTTAAACTGGAACCCACAAAAATATGATGAAAGGAAGCCAACTGGACTTCATATAAGTACACTGTTCCCACACCATATTACTTCTTGCCTCTGTGTCTTTTACAATATGATGCTGTTTACTTTTACTGTACAGAACGTGGTTTGTACTGAAACACTTTTTGTTAATTTGTAAAAATGTAATACCCATGATGACAAAGACTAAAATTATTAAATTTCAATTACGGCTTCATCCCAATGTTAATGTACGATCAGCTCAATTGGCACTAATGTTGTTCTCGATCAATATAAGCAAGTTTCATATTAAAGTGATACCTCTTATTTCAACATACTTTGGTCCATTCAACAATGGACAACAGACAATGAAAAAGTACACCAATGTTGTCATATCTATTAAAATAATTTCCCCTTAAAAGAAGAAATTATCTTACATTTTACTCAGAGGACTTCATTTCAGTGATTTTACATTTCTCTTTCATCAAACATATTAAATATACACACATGGCTGCTTACTTTTTAATTTCCTACACACATTCCGAGTAACTGTGTGTGGTATCACAAAAAGACGGAGTTTCTTTTCAGCAAAAGAACTAAGTTTTAAGTTTCTAAACCTGGAATGCTACAAATTTTCCAGATACTACAATACCTACATATTTTCAATTCCTTGTTCTACTGCTAACCAGTCAAATTATCGGAGAAAACATGTACACAGATACACATTCTGTTCTCTATCTCGGCTGCATGCTAGCACTAGCAGATCAGTTACTTTAAATGCCCTTTAAGTGACCAGGCAACTTGTACTACGTCATGAACAGCAAAAGGCTCTGCAGTCTAAACTACGTACAAAGTAGCATTTCTATGCAAAAAGTAAAGCTGTCCCACTATATGCCATGTAGGCACTTCGGAGGAGAGGTGATATAGCCTATTCATTCCTGACCTCGGCACTAGATGGGGATAAGTGATCAGCATCACGCCCCGGCCGTGCTTTACCCCCAGGAAAGGATCCCTGAACCAGTCTGGACGAAGAGGTTAGAGGAAAAATCCTCTGGCCCCGTTGGGGATCAAACCCTGGTCATCCAGTCCATAGTCAATCACTATAGTGACTGAGCTACACTGTGAATCCTTCAAAAATCAATTCACAGTAAGTTAAGCAAAATTAAAATCCACCAAATAACAGAAACATGTTTAGAAATATTCAAAATGGAGTTATTATGTTAAATTATTCAATATGGATACTGTACTACACATTAAAAATTATTCTAAATAGTTTTTGCACAGGAG